GGAACAATTTTTGAAATGCACGAACATATTTTTGATTTAATGAAGATTTTTTGAAATGCATGATCATTTTTTGAATCAACGAACATTTTATGAATCAATAAACTATTTTGTTAGTCATGAACAGTTTTTAAAGTTTTAGGATATTTTTCAATTCATGACCATTTTTTAAATTGACAAAATTTTGTTCAATTTCATTACAAAATTAATACATAATTTTGAAATAAAATCATGATTTTTTTTGATTTCCTAAACATTTGTTTTCAAAATTGTGTACATTTTCTGAATATACAAACAGTTTTTAAAATCATGAACATTTTCTAAATCCACAAAAATTATGTATTATTAAATATTTTATTTCGAAATACTCATTTTTTAATTTTCAGAATTTTTTTGAAGTCCCAAATTTTTAAAGTAGAAAAAATACGATGGGAAGGAAAGCTAAATTTAAAAAACAAGCCGCCCGGACATGTGCAGGCCCAAAGTGGTGCGTTGTGTCTTCTCCCAGAGCGCAGAGTGTTGTATAGAAAGTTCCTACTGCATGGGCCGGCCCAGGTGGGGATTCCCCATGTGAAACGTTTTTTATCATTTATAGGTGGCGTCAGTGGGTGATATTTCACAACTTTGGGGGCAATTTCGGTGACATACCACTAGAAGCAATAGCCCCTTTATTATTAGGTATAGATTATTCTTATCTCAACTTTTTTTCTTGGCTTGCCTAAATCTATAGTATGAAGTTTTACCAATAGTGAATCATCTCTCTCCTATTCAGTACTTTCCATATAGGATGTAGATGATGTGGTCAGAGCTAGCGGATGATGACATGACATTGTCGGAGATGCCCTAAGGACATGGATAAAAATAAGGGGAACATGTACACGAGAGTATAGCCAAAGTCAACATAAATGGCCCAAACAATCTTCAATCTACTACCGAAATGGTAGCCTACATGGCGCATGCGGGATCCCGAGTCACTTGAAAGGTCAATATAGACATATGGTGTTTGTTGAACTTGAGGTGTTTAACATTTTCTTTGCCGTTATGAAGGTTGTATTTTGTTTGCAAGGTTTACAGTCTTGTAGGTAGTTACTGAAAAACTGCTTTTCTAGGTTTTGAACTTGAGGGCCTGACATGGCTCTTGACTGCATGAGTAAGACATGAAAAAGAATGTTGCATGTGCATTTTGGGAATTTATGTGCATACTGGTATGGTGTTTGAGTTGATGTTTGTATGCATCGGTTTTATACTAAATCATCTATATGCATCATGAAAAAATTGGTTATATGCATAGTACCAATAAATGCTTTGATGATCACAACTCAAGAAACTAACCCATGACAATATATCCATAGTGTGTCCTACGTAGCATAATAGGCATGTATTACTTATGAAAGTATTAGTATGGACCACATCATAGTTAAAGAAACTTGCACGTCTCCCTTAGTCTTTCTACAAGAAACACATGAACCTACAGTCTAAAGCATGTAGTGAAGGAACTGTTGTCTCTTTGACTACAACATGCTCATATGAAATAATCAAGGGACCTTAACCCAAGAAGGCTTTTATATTTCACATACGTAAAAAAATCATGTACAATAGCACGTGATTGATGGATAGAGAGTCAACTCAAAACAAACAAGTCATAGAAACAATCTAGTTAAATGCATATTGTTTAACTAGAGAACATTTGAAAGAGAAAACAAAAGGAAAGCACACCAAATCATGCCACAAGCAGCTTGAGTCCTTCGCGGTCAGGTTTGCATGAGTCTTGTCTCCCTTGATGAATTCAATAAAGCACAAAATCAAGCCATAAGTAGGAAAGAGTAATTTGCATGAGCTTTGAGGAGGCTGAAGGAACCTGCATATTCTAATCATCTCCGAAATTTGTTACTAGTTGTTGTTTGATGATCTTAGGTACCCCATTGGTATCTTGCCTTTTGAGTTGCACGAGGTTTGGTCAGACATTGTGACGAAGATTTGCGGCTAGAATGTCATCCCGCTTCACGTTTCCATGTAGCTCCATAATCTCAAGACTCTGAAGTCTTGGGTAGGTGAATATGCATGAAGGAATCTCATCACCTTGCAAACTCAGGTGGCCAAGGAGATACATGTTCCGGAGAGCAGCCTCGAACACACGTCCTCCATGTTCCGCATACTCGAAGTTGTGCATCTTAAATGACAGTATGCTTCTTGTCATCTTGTTATCCAAGGGATTCCACTCTCATGATCCCAAGGAGGCAGGCTTTATGCCATGGAGTGTATGTAGCTCACTACCAACCTCACCATCTTCTTCTTGTTCTTCGACACCTAGTGGCATTTGATATTGCAGGAAGTGCTAGTGTTTTTGTGGGTACATGCTGAAGAGTCTCGATCTTTCAGAAATCCCGGTGATTCTCCTCTACCTGGGTATTACTTATGTTGAGCGTCTACAAGTTTAATAGCTGGACAATGCTGAATGGGAGAATTTTTAGGTCGAGGGAGTCGACACACAGATGTCACAATTGTATAGTGTCACCAAGCCCATTCGACAACACCTTGAGCCTCAACTCCTTGAAGGAGACTACACGAAGGAACTTTGGCCAACACAGAAACTTGATGTCATTATGAACACCCTTCTACTTTGCCTACCTCTACCGATTTTCAATTTCTTCTCATCGACATGACATATGAAGGACCGCAACTTCGTGAATTTTGGGTTGGTGGTATACATTGATCTACAATCGCTTTAGACAGAGATGCGACGTACCGATCGCGACATAAGGACATCATATAGAACATTGTGGATAATCTCCATGAAGCCAACATCGACAATCTTTGATTGCATAGACACTAGGAGGCTTCTGTGAAGTCTGACTACCCATATGCCACAGCCAAGTTTCCTCTCCTCCAGCTAAACACGCTATCACAAAACCAATCCCTTCATGTAGCCGTCCCCTACCTGCACCAGAGTATTTCCATGATGCGACTGACTTTTGTTGATGAAGCCTTCTGCTATCCATATCTGAACAATCTCATCGGCATCTTGACATGTGTCCTAGGAGTATGCAAGAAGTATAAAAGCACGATTTGGGATCGTTGGGAAGATCCTCGAAGCTCGTCCAAAAGGTGGCCTCTATCGTCCTTCATGTGATGCACATCTGCTGATGTGGCTACTGTTGGTACCTTACACACATAAGTTGTTGCATCACTGCATCCCATTGGATCGGTTTCAACTTGAACCGAAGCATCCCGGCAAGGAGCAGACGAGCAATATGCCCATGGAATGTCCTCCCATCACACTACGAACATTTCTCTGGAAACCATTGTGATCTCCATACTCCTCTTCCTGTTCATTTCCAAACATGGCAAAAGCAACAACCAGAAAACCACTGGGAGCCAGATGGAAACACAAATGGCTCGCGGGTCTCGGCGGATGCTTAATCTGCGAGGTATACATGGATTTTTTTTCCTTCTTTATCCAGCCGAGAAATGAAGAGCTGTCCTGATGAAATTTCAAATTGTGTTGATTTTTGAACTGTAATTTGCTTTTCAATCGTTTTTCAAACTTAACGCTCGGCCGTAAAGGAGCGTTTCTCGCTCTCAATCTCCCCTCAACGCTAACCCTCGATCCCCTTCCACCACCCCCGCCGCCATGGACCCGCCGCTGCCGGCGGCCTCCATCCCCGTCCCCGACGAGCTCCTGGAGGAGATCCTCCTCCGCCTGCCCACCCCGAAAGCGGTCGCCCGCGCCTCCGCCGCCTGCACATCCTTCCGCCGCGTCATCAAAGGCTGCCCCTTCCGCCGCCGCTTCCGCGCGCTGCACCGGCCTCCCCTCCTCGGCTTCATGGACGCGGCCGGATTCCACCCCGCCCAGGCGCCGCACCCCTCCGCCCCGCTCGCCGGCACCCTCGCCCCCTGCGCGGCCAATTTCTCCTTCATCCCGGCCGTCGTCTCTTCTGCCTCCGGCGTCCAAGAAGACGACGGGGAAGGCCCCCGCTGGCCCCCCCGCGACGTCCGCGACGGCCGCCTCCTCCTCCATTGGAGATCCCTCCACCCCGGCTTCGTCCTCGACGTCTCTGGAGTAAGCATCCTCATGGGCTCCAGTGAGCTCGTTAGACACAAACGTTGTGCCCGCCCCGAATGGCGCAACGCCGCCGACTTCCACCTCGCCGTCTGTGACCCCCTGTCCAGCAGATACATGCTTCTTCCAACAATACCAGAGGACCTCGCCGCCTAGCCGCAGGATCGCCTTCGGAAATTGTCCTTAAAGGACCACTCCTTGACGTATACTGCAACGGGCTCATCTGCTTCTCGAGGCCTCTCATTGGTGTCCCTTTGTATGGGCCAAGAAAAGGCCATATGCAACCCACTCCGACATGTGACCTAACGTCCCTCCTCCTGCCAACGACATGGGGTTTCTCTTGACGTGTCCCCCTCCCCAATCCCTGGGAAGGCTGCTCCCGTGTGCGAGAAAGCAAGTGCTCGGCGACAAGCCCCTGACCACCCCCAAAGCCAACTCAGCAGATCCCGAGCTTGGCGGCACCAAGTCTGCATATTTCAAATTAACAAACATTTTTTGAATATGCAAATATTTTTTCCCTGAACATTTTTTATGAAATCATGAACATATTTATTTTATTTGAATATGCAGGCATTTGTTTGGAACTAATGAACAATTCTCAAATTCGTGAACATTTTTTGAATTTCTTAAACAATTTTGAAATATGTTAACATTTTTTAAAATCATTAGTACATTAACATTTAAGATTACTTGAACCTTTTTTGCCCAATTCAAATTTTTTTTAAAATTTTAGAACCTTTTTTGTAATGCTAAATTATTTTTATCATAGAATAAAACAAAAACAAAAACTAGAAAAGAAAAGGTAAAAAAATAAAAACAGGGGGCATCCATGGTGTGCTCGCGCGATCCCAGAGTCCCGCAGTCCCACTCACTGGTCAGTGGTCACTCCACTATCCCCAACCCAACCCTAAACCCCCGATCCCCTTCTCCCAGCCCCGCCGCCATGTCCACGCCGCCGCCGACGACCATCCCCGACGAGCTCCTGGAGGAGATCTTCCTCCGCCTGCCCACGTCGGACGCGGTCGCGCGCGCCTCCGCCGCCTGCACATCCTTCCGCCGCGTCATCAAAGCCCGCGCCTTCCGCCGCCGCTTCCGCGCGCTGCACCGGCCTCCCCTCCTCGGCTTCATGGACGCGGCCGGATTCCACCCCGCCCAGGCTCCGCACCCCTCCGCTCCGCTCGCCGGCGCCCTCGCCCCCCGCGCCGCTGATTTCTCCTTCGTCCCGGCCGTCGTTTCTTCTGCCTCCTACTTCGTGCCGCGGGGCGTCCAAGAAGACGACGGGGAAGGCCCCCGCTGGCGCCCTTGCGATGTCCGCGACGGCCGCGTCCTCCTCGATTGGAGATCCCTCCGCCCCGGCCTCGAGGTCTCTGGAGTAAGCACCCTCATGGGCTCCAGGGAACTCGTTAGACGCAAACTCTGTGTCCGCCCCAAATGGTGCAACGCCGCCGACTTCCACCTCGCCGTCTGTGACCCCCTATCCAGCAGATACGTGCTGCTTCCAACAATACCTCAGGACCTCGCCGCCCAGCCGCAGGATCTCCTTTGGGAATTCCTGCCCGTGCTTGCTCCCTGCACCGGCGACGACAGCGACGAAGAGCCCTTCAAGGTGATATGCATAGCAAGATACCGAACGAAGCTCGTCCTCTTTGTATTCCCGTCCACAACTAGGCAATGGTCTATGGTCGAGTCCCCCATTTCCCCTTCTTTGTACGACATGTCCTCTTTTGACTATGTGCGGGGCTCATTCTACTGGATAGAGCCTTATGATTTGAGTGACCATTTGATGGTGCTGGACACCCGCACTTTGAAGTTTTCCACTGTCGGCCTTCTCACCGGTTACCATATGGAGATCAGAGGTCTGCCTGGCCAGAGCTTTGATGATCTTCGCCCAAATGCTGTTGTGATGGGCCGAGAAGGAACCCTTGAGATGTTTTCTCTTGTCTGTCAACAAGGGGCCTTTGCTCTCTACCATACCTCTCTGCAGAATAATTCATAGGAATGGAAGCTAGAGAAGATTATACAGCTGCCTGGGCAGTATCATGACTATTCCATTTCCACAGTTGGTGCAGCCGAGGGATTCTTGTTCTTCCGGGGTGCTCCAGATGGTATTCCTATTGAGAATGTGGATTGTTACTCATTGGAGGTCAAGACTTATGAAATTACCAAAGTCTGCACAAAGAGGGAGAATACCTACAATCCCAGACGTGCCCTCCCCTACTTTAGCTTCCCACCGCTGTTATCGGAACCAACCATCTGATCAACTGGTAAGCTTAACTATTTTATTTATGTTGCCATTGGATGCATGATTTGCTTGTTCTGCTCACATGGTTATGTAGAAAGTTAATTATTGTTCTATTGGGCTTCTATTGAAGTGGTAACCAATTGATGGTTTGATTCTGCACGCATGTTCAACAACTGTTTGCAATTGAGAAGATCAATGCAAAAAAGAAAGATTACATACCAATTTGGAAAGCTAACTTTTATTGCTCCATATCTTAGTAGAGAAAATGGCTTCTGCGACTTCATATGGTACATCTTTAGTCACACTTTGCACTTAAACATCATCCATTTATTTGGACGATGATGTTCAAAACAAGAATGTTGCACTACATGTAACCTGATTTTTAAGTACTCTTTATTTACCTTGTTGTGTTTTCAAGAACATATAGTTCACTGCAATTAGATGTCTACTCTATATTTAGCAGATAGGAAAGATTCCCATTGCATCAACTGCGCAGTGGCTTCAAATTTCTACTCCCATTTTGTTATATAGAAAGTTAATTATTGTTCTATTGGGCTTAATTACCTTGTCAAACTAGTTATGACAGGTAGCCAGGTCATGGTTTGATTCTGCATGTATGTGTAATAGTTGTATGTGATTGAGAAGGTTATCTGAAAAGAAAGATTACACACTAATTTGGAAAGCTATTTTTTGTTGCTCCCTATCTTAGGAGAAAAAATGGCTTTCACGCTTGCATCTTTGTGCAGTACATCGTTGGTCATACACTCATACTTAGCACTTACTTCATATTATTCATCAATGTTCAAGATAAGAATGTCGCATAACCAGTGAGTTGATGTTTGAAGGCCTTGAGTCTTGTATTTATGAGCACGCCTTACTTAGCATGTTATGGTTTCAAGAACAGAGAGGGTTCAGGTTTGCTAAGTTTTTGTGTATATTGATTCCAAGCTGCAATATACTATGGTAGCTTGCGGGCCTTTGTTCTTAAGCTATATTGTACTCTGCTATTTCGCACATGCCTCCTTCCTAAGAAAATGGGTTGGGAAAGATTCTCGTTGCATCAACTGCAGTTGCTTCAAATTTCTAACTAAATACATGTATGCAGATCTGAGCTCGCTGGCTTTGTCTTGCTTCGGCCATACATCTGGAGTAGGATGGCGGATGTTCAAGATGGTGCTTATGTAGTCTGATATGTCCGTATTAAGCGTCGTGTGCATGTAAGCAGCGTACGCTGTCGGCAAGTTGAGTTTGACCAGCACTGATGTGCAAGACTTGGGTTTATGTTGTGTAGTGATGTTTGTGTTGGAAGACTTGGGGGGTTTATGTTCCCTCTTTCAATCTATGTACTTAGTCTAGATGATTATCAGTCATTGAGGGAACTTAGTTTTTATCCACATGATGAGTGGAGTGGATGAGTTAGTTAAGTTCTTTTATTAAGATGCTTCTGATGAGTTCAACTCTAACGCCTACCAAATTCTGGATGAGTTGCTATGGTTGAGTTTCTTGCGCACTGAGCGTGGATGTTGTGTGCAAATGATGACTGGCTGTAATAGACATGGATATCATACAAACATCAACTTTCAGGGCTTCATTTTGCTCAGAGATGTACTCAAATTTCAGTTGAGAGCATCATGTCATTGTCTATCAATATGACAGAAACTTCAGAAGCCTTTTCCATGTTGAAAAGTCTGAAAACTGGAAACGTAAAACTTGATACACCACAACACACCCACAATTTTGCGAGCTATTCTACCTTGGCCTACTTTTACAAACTTTTCTACCAGCACCAGGATAAACCAACTTGTACAAACTTGTCTACCAGCACTTGGAGCTATCTTCAACAAACCCAATATGGTATTGCTACACAGCCTAAGCAGGCAAGGCAAAGTGGTTCAGGGTCCTGCACGGGCCTAGGTGACAGTTTCGGTAGCAGGCTGCGACCGGGATGCGCGAGCCCGAGCTGCGGTCGCTCTCTCCAACGCCTTGAGCCGGTGGTTAGCCTCCATGCGCGCCTTCTGCTCTCCGTCATCTTCATTTTGCTTGGCTTCCTTGCAGCATTCTCCACTCCATCTTGAGGCTTCTCTGCCTCACAAGTTGTCGTTCCAGGTTCCTGTCTTGAGGCTTCTCTGCCTCACAAGTGCCTAAACAATTGTGTATGTGCCTCTTGAATAACTTGTTCACTGTCGGTTGATGCAGCTGTGTCCTTCAGTTCAGAAATGCATCTCTGAAACAAGCAAGGACAGTGTCAACGAACAATACATAGGTCCAGGAAGAACAAGGTCGATTAACATGATGCAAGGGAAATTAGCGAATATAAAATAGCCATAAAAATCCATTGGCATTAATTTGTGAAATGGCACAAGGGCCCAGATTAAAATAGCCATAATAATCTATTGGCATTCACCAAAAACATACTCATGTATCATTCCTTCCTGTTCCTGAGCATACTCATATCCCATTCCTTCGGTCCTTGCTGAACATACTCATGTTGCCAGGTGAAGCATGACAGATCCTTTCTTTTTTCAGGTGTGTTGATGTACTTTGTGAAATCTGCATGTTCGCTTAAAAAAAAAAGTCTTCATGCGGATGTGTTGCACGCCACTGTCTTTTCCATTGACCCATAGTCATTAAAACACAGCCCCCTAAATAATTATTCAGATTTACAAAGCCGTCAAGCTGTTCTCAAATATCAGTAGATAGATTAGTGGTTGTGGCAATAAGTAATTACGTTTCAAGCATCCGATCTAGCCGGTCAAAAACACATAAAACATAACTTCAATCTAGAAGAGCTAATCTTGCACCAGCCCACATCATGGTTTCAAATAGCCCGCTATAGGTCCGCTATAGCACGCTAGAGCGTTTAAAAAAGGTCCTGCACTAAGGGTCTTTTGTCCAAACAAATGAGCAAACATTTTAAATAGCTCGCTATAGCACCGCTATAGCATGCTATAACATTTAGAAGCGGTCCGCCGCTAAGAGCCTTAGCGCGCTATTTAAAACTTTGGTCCACATTGTCATGCTCTGAAGACTGCTCAGTTACTCCTCTAAACAGCACTGATGGGAACCCTTAATGGAAGCAAGAAAAGAGCTTACCCTAACGTGGTACTGTTCCCCAACTTTCTCAACCTTGCGCACAAACTGCTTTCCTCCTAGGCGTAAAGCCTGATCAGAATAAGCACACGTGTAATGTGAAGGTGGTTGTAATAAAACCTTTGTAGTCTATATGACTTGTTCCGTAGTAGTTTTCTTTTTAGAAAAATAAAATTAACACAACGATTTTAGTATCTTTGGCCACGTAATATTTTAACAAGTTAACTTGTAGTCTATCATATCTCATGGAAGGTCGAACATTTTTCATAGCCGGTGGAACTTATTTAAAAAAATATATTTTCACACAACAATTATTTGCAATTATTGTAGTTCAGTTCAAAAAGATAAAATATCCCCCAAAAACATCAAATGTATTTTAAAATTACTTTCAGCTTTAAATAAAACAACTTTGAAATATTACTTTGGGCCGTACTTCCTCACATGGCATGCCCAATCGGCCTCCCGAGGAAACCGCCAATTACTCGGGAGCACGGGAGCTCCTACAGGGCGCCTTAAGCGAGAGCAACTAATGACCGAGTACTCCTTCGGAAGCCCCGCAAGGATCATTTTGGGTGGGTTGGTAGCGCCCCACTTGGCGCGCACTCAGCCGCCGTCATGTGTCGCACTCTAGGCACTCCCTTCGGATTTTTTTTTATTTTTTTGTACGCACTTTTGGCTTTAAGATGATTTTTTCAGGTTTTTTTTTACTTTCGGTTTTCCCATGTTTTTTTTAAGTTCTGGCCCCAAAATATTTCAGAAAAAATTGCGCAAAAAAGCATGTTTTTTTTTTTTCTTCCGCGAGAGGTATGGATTTACTTCTCAATGGAGGCATGAATTTGCTTACACGAGAGGCATAGCCGTGCTTCTCGCAAAAGGAAAAAAACATGTTATATTTTCTCCTTTCACGAGAGGCATGGATTTATTTCTCGTGAAGGCATGGATTAGCTTCTGCGAGAGGCACAGCCACAAAAGTGTTTTCTTTTCGCTCCCTTCCACGAGAGGCACATATTTGCTTTCGCGAGAGGCACATATTTACTTCTTGTGAAGGCATTGATTTGCTTCTGTCAGAGGTATAGCCATGCCTCTCGGATTTTTTTTGGAAAAACTAGTGTTTTATTTTTTTTCCTTCCGCGAGAGGTACGGATGTACTTCTCATGAAGGCACGGATTTGCTTCAGAAAAGGAAAAAACGTATTTTCTTTTATTTATTTTTCTTCCGTGAGAGGCACGGATTTGCTTCCGCGAGAGGCACACTCGTGAATCTTGCAAAAGGAAAATAAACGCGTGTTTTTTCTTGAACAAGCAGCACGGATCTACGTCTTGTGGAGTCACGGATTTGCTTCCGCCAAAGCATAGCCGTGCCTCTCGAAAAAAGGAAAATACACGTTTTTTTTCTTTCGTGAGAGGCAAAGATATACTTCTTGTGCGGGCACGGGTTTGCTTCGCGAAGGCGCAGCCGTGCCTCTCGGAAAAGGAAAAAAAATGTTTTTTTTCTTTTTTTTCCTTCCGTGAGAGGCACAGATTTACTCCTCGTAAAGGCGTGGATTTCCTTCCACGAGAAGCACAGCCATGCCTCTTCGGAAGGGAAAAAACATGTTGCAGGTTCCCTTTTTTCATCCGGTTTTTCATATAAAAAAGTTCGTCCAAACCTATCAACATGAGATC